AGTCAGTGAGGTGTTAACCTCTGACTTACCCCTGAGTTCCCAGACTCAACATTTGTTGCAACTTGTCTGAACCACTTCACTACATCACACACCTGATTGCTGCGTTGTGGAATAGTCTAAGCTACGACCCTTTGGCTCTGTTTTCTAAGACAGTGTGTTGTCTTAGTAAATTCATCCCTTCCTTGGGTGGCTAGATTCTCACATCTGGTGCACCCACCATTACACTTAGACTATTCCACAACGCAGCAATCAGGTGTGTGATGTAGTGAAGTGGTTCAGACAAGTTGCAACAAATGTTGAGTCTGGGAACTCAGGGGTAAGTCAGAGGTTAACACCTCACTGACTTTTCAGAAACAAGGAGTAACAAGATGAATGCTTGGAAGCTTGTAAAAGACGTGGAAGTATGTGATAGTCAATTTACTGTATTGTCTGCTTGCCCTTTCTTAAGGAAAGGGCAATCCTATTTATGCCAAAGGAGTGTAGTTCTCTCATTTTCCAAGACTTTCCATGACTAACCAGGCTTGGTAAATGTATTAGAAATCAAGTGCGACCCACAACTAGCTTGCTAATCATGTAGTGAACGTAAGAGAATCCCATAGAACCATCTCTTGGGTTCCTAGCCTATAGGAAGTGAAAAGGAGGTCCAAGGTCAGAGTACCTATAGATAAATTATGTCATAACTTAACCAATCTTGTGGGTAACTAAGGAGCGATGACGTGTAATGAATCATAGAGGGTTGTAGAAGCTTCTAGAGCTATTGTTCATGTTCCTAGGCCTCTAGTTGTTAGAGATATGCCATGTGGTAGTATTGGCCCACCCCCTTAAGGAGGAGATTTTCTTAATAACTTGTTCAATGAGTGTCCAAATGATATGCCGTGATGTATGTAGCATAAACAGATGTAGTAGAAGAGTTTGCAGCAATCGTTGAGTAGTATTGCTTCTGTTGTTGGTGTGATAAGCCAAGATATGTATGGTGACTTGTAGGTTTGAGGAGGAGATTTCTAAGTTTGCTCTTGAGTTTGATAGCAAACTGAGTGCAACGAATGTCAGTATGACAGCTCTCTACAGTTTTCAACGACGTAATGAGCCACTTAGTATACGAGTTTGAGGCTGTACTTGAGTGGCACCCATACCTTACATACAAGAAGCTGTTACAATTCGAAGAAGCGATTGAAGACAGTGGTGGGTGTGGTCAAATATGGGGGTTCGTCGACGGAACCTTCCAAGGCTTTTGTCGACCAGCAGGAGACTCCAAAGTCTAGCGGCAGTGGTATTCTGGATATCAAAAGAAGCATGGAATGCACTTCCAAGCAATTGTAACCCCAGACGGGCTTGTATCATCCTTAATTGGACCATATAACGGACCCGCAAATGACTGGCGAATATGGCAGGATTCTGGCTGCGTACAGCGGATCCGGCATACTATAGGAGGAAGAAAGGATTTATATCTTTATGGGGACCCTGCCTACCATTGTACAGAGGGTATTCTAGCCCCATATACTTGCCCTCGTGGTCATGGATATCTTCCGCAAAAGCAGAAGCAGTTTAATAAGGCGCTATCATCTGTAAGAATTGCAGTAGAGAACGCCTTTGGGTTAACACAACAGTTATGGACATATACAGCATTTGACAAGGGGTTACAGTCACAATCGCAGCCTGTAGCTGCTCACTTTAAAGCTGCAATACTGCTGTCAAACTGTTATACCTGTATTTGTGGCAATTTGATCGGGACAAGGTTTCTAGTACCACCACCAACAGTAGAGGAGTATCTTTGTTATAATAGCTAGCTACGATATATACTAATTACTTGACTCTATCCAACCCTCTACTTCGTTGATCCCATTGTGCTGTGAGCTCTCAACTGGGATGCTTCGCCGGATAGGCCCATGAAGTGCTTGCTCAAGTAACGATATCATCGTTAACTGGCCTTTTTTGATTTCTTCCTGGCCTTCCTGAAGCTCCCGGATCTGGTAATCAACTTGCTGAAATTGCAACTCAATACTACTTGTATTAAGTCCTCCATTCTCACTTTCCTGCTGTCTATCCTGCCGGTCTATATTACCTTGAGTATATTGGGCTTTTAAAAGCTCAACTAATGACTCAATACTAGTCGACGTCCGGTCTTCACCCTGTATATTCAAACGCTCATCTAGGATCATTTGATTATAGGAAGGGGAAGATATTCGCAGGCGCTTCTTGCAGCTTCTTGCTTGACTGACTGACTGGCCACGAGCGGAAGAAGTGCTTTGATAAACTGGCGTTGAGGTTTCAAAAGCTCAACGCCAGTTTATCAAAGCACTTCTTCCGCTCGTGGCCAGTCAGTCAGTCAAGCAAGAAGCTGCAAGAAGCGCCTGCGAATATCTTCCCCTTCCTATAATCAAATGATCCTAGATGAGCGTTTGAATATACAGGGTGAAGACCGAGTCGAGTTGATAGAGCTGTTGTCCTCACAGTTATCACTTTGTAGCTCTTCGTCGTCGTCTACGTCAAAGCCTGAGAGCTCCCGTGCTCTTTGGCCAATAGACTTATCACGACTTTTTGGAGGATTCCTCTGGTATTTCCTCTTTGCCGCAAGGGCTACAGAGAGTGAGTCCCGGATATCCTGCGCCCGCTGTGACGAAGTGAGAACAGTATTTGCTGCCTCACTTCGCTCCTTATTAAGTCGCTCCTCCTCACCAACAACGTCAATCCAGTTATCAATCTGGACAGTCAATTCGCTCTCGCTGTCTGTCTGACTGGTCCCAAGACTGTCAAGGTATGCCCTCCTCCTTTCAGTTTCCCGGCGTAATACTCGGTGAAGGCTCTTATGCTGCTTGCCAGTTTCCTTCGCAAAGTCCTCTCGAAGATGGGACCAAAACCCAGTCTTGCTACCTGGTCGATACACTTTGGCATTTCGATTTGCAAGCCGGAATAGGACCAGCACTTCAGCCTTCGTCAAAGGGGCCATCTTAGTCGGAGAGCCTTGAGGATCGCAGCTTTCTATACGCTGCTGGGTTGAGAGCTGTGATACTTCTGGTGTTTCGGCTTCCATTTGCCCCTCAATCGTAGGCTGGATAGGCAGAGCAGGGCTTGCTCTGCCATCTTCTTCGAAGGTAGAGTATTGGCGATGTCTTTGGGGTAAGGATTGGGGCTCATAAGCCAGGAATTCGAGCAGCTTCAAGGCCATTATCTCTTATATAGAGCGACGTATGTAGATACTGCTATACTACTGTATTCGCCTTACAATTACATGTCGTCTATCCAAGGTAATTACTAACTTATATTCTAACTACAATAGGAATCTGGCTGGCTGTTAGCCTTGAACAGATAACTGTCTGAGTTGACAGTCTTACTTCCTATTTAGGAAATAGTGGGGTTTACGGCGAGCAGGGCTTAGTTTATACAGGGTTCCTGGTCAAATTTTATACACTAACTACTCGTGCGGCCCAAAAGTCTGTACAGGGTCTGTGCATGGGAGGTGGGTCATTGTAAGTACTTTTGAAAAATAAATACATAGAAATGTACATAATCTACCCACGAAAATTGTTACCTCCATTTACTGCAATAGACCGCTCTAACTTATCCCTGAACGACGCACATAGTTGAGCAGTTTTCCCATCCATTTTCCTCCCCCATTCTTCCTCAAGAAATACCCTTGCATGAGCTTTCTCAAGCTTACCTCCATTTAAAGGTATATATTCATCAACTCGATCTTTCAGATAATCAAAAGCATTCTCAATAGGATGTAAATCAGGAGAGTTTGGAGGCCAGAATCCTACTCTGTGAATTCCTTCTCTTTTCATATAATCTTAAAGTGAATGGTGTGCTTTCAAATGAAGACTAACATTGTCATCTACAAACCAGAGTCGTTTTTCTGGATGTAATGATTTGATTTTCCGAAAATAAGGAAAGAGAATTGGGAGTAAAACCATTTCACGGTATAAAAACCAATCAATCCCACCCTTTGAAACTTCTTGGTTTTCTGAAACTCTTCCTCTACTCCAACTCTCCATGTCTCCAAATTCTTGTGATGGTCTTCGTGGCCGTTTCCATTTGCTTTTCCCTTCTTGGATATCTCTGTTTAAAGTCTCCATATATTCATATTCGAGAGTTCCAACTGATCTTGCCCGTAAAAGCTCATCATCTGCCTTTTTTTGCCAGTATGTATTTATCTCCTGAAGTTTAACACATTTTGCCGCTTTTCTTCAATGCTTTCAGGGATCCAGGATAGTGACGGGCATGAGACAGCGATTACAGAACTTATTGCACCCCAGAACATAACTTGAAAGAGAGATTTCTTCTGTTGAACTGCCATACTTTCTGCTGTTTTACCTTGTTGGACTGTAATTCGGCGTTTCTTGTGTGGATTTCCTCCAAAGTTGATATATGACTCGTCTGAGAATATGAAGTAGAACCAGCTTCAAGTTCTGATAATGCCCATTTGCAGAATCTCAAGCGTACTTCAGGAATAATATTATCAAGATATGGCTTGAGACAGATGTTTTTGCGTACAATTGGGCGAGGGATCTCTGCACTTGAGTGGTTCTTTGCAACTCGTTCAACAATAGAGCGTGAATATAGTAATTTCTCCTTATCAATAACTTGTTGGAATGTATCGAATGGATTTGCCAGAAGTAAAGAGCGTAATGACTCTTGAGAATCTTTCTGTATCGTTTGAGGTCTTCCGCTCCAAGGCTTTGGGTTAAGATGTTCAAGAAGGTTGAGAATATCTGTATTTCCTGCCTTTTCCACAGTTTGTTGCCATATACGTGCAACAGAATTAGCTGAGATTCCAAGCTTCTTTTCAATTTCTGCATATGAATCATTCATAAATATGCATAGGGTAATGATTGCTGCACGTATTGGAATTGAAATTTCGGCCATTGTGCAAGATAGTTGAGAGTTAGGTATTATTGTTGTAACTGAGTACTTATGCTTCCTAATTATTCTAGTGTTCTAATTGGCTGGAGTGCACAGACCCTGTACAGACTTTTGGGCTGCACGAGTACAGAGGTAGCATTCAAAAGTTTTGTCCTGCCAAGAATGCCAAGGTATGCATAACTTCCCCTCACTTGCGACCGACGAACTGACTCAATCGACAGTGCCTTTCAAGTTCAAACGATGGCACCGAACACGGATATCTCGACGAGGGCCCTGATTGTGGCCCTCAAATCTCCGACTGGAGGAAAGACTTCAGCGGAAGTTGCTGAGAAAACTGGCCTGTCAACCCGACAGGTGAACCGGATATATACTCGCGCAATTGAGCGTGGGTTTGACCCCAACCATATGCCACTCACCTTACGAGATGAGTGGTTACAGGACGCTCCCCGGTCTGGCTGCCCGACAAAACAAACAGCTGAAGCGACAGAGGGAGTTGTCGCAAAGGTGCGAACCGACCATTACGGAAGGGAAAAAACTTGTGCTGATATCGTGGGGGAACTTAGCTTCCAAGGTATCGACATTGTCATGACACTCCTTCGATATTTGTGTCACGACCCTTCGATTCGCTTTAGTCTCTAGTACTTATTTCATCATTCACTTCACCTGCTTCGCTCACTTCGCTCACTTCGCTTCACTTGCTGACCTAGATCAGCCCAAATGTTGACTACTGGCTTAGGCTCTCTGTTATTGGCTTGCTGTACTAGGGCTCGCTTAGCTAGGGTTCGGTTAATTAGTGCCTTCGCTTATTTGGCACTAGGGATTTTTACTGTTATATAAGCACTTATTGCTCATGTCTCTTATTGATCTTTAGCTAGCAAATTATATACTACTTGGCCTTCTTGCAATTCCTCCTGCTTCGACTTACTTTGCATTCCCTTACTTCTAGTTGAACCACTTGGCCAACCTGTTAGTCTCACCACTTGACCCCTGTGGTATAAAGTATATGCTTTGGAGCCTGAACTACTATACCTTGTCCTACTGCTTTGAGTATCGAAGTCTTAACATTATACTTCGGATACTTCTGCAGACTTGAAGGTCAGCCTCGGTTCGAACTGTCCTTACAGACATCTCCTCCACGACAATATGGAGAGTTTTAAGGACTGCTGGCTTCTGGAAAACGAAACCGACGAGGAAGCCAGGGTTGACGAAGAAGATGAGGGCGGAGATATTAAAATGGTGCCTCGACCATCAGCACTGGACACTCGAGGATTGGAAAAATGTAATATGGTCAGACGAGACATCTGTGGTACTAAACCATAGACAGGGAGGTTATCGGATATGGAGAAAGGCAGACGAGGCATTTTTACGGAGTTGCATTAGGGAACGGTGGAAAGGATACTCAGAATTTATGTTTTGGGGATGTTTTACTTACGACAAGAAAGGGCCATGTCATTGTTGGATCCCAGAGACAAAAAAAGAACGAGACGCTGCAGAAGTTGAAATACATGGAATGAATGAAGAGTTGGAACCAATTTTACGTGAAGAATGGGAATTATCAAATGGGATATGCCGAATGTCTCTACACAATCTTCCTGGTATAAAGCCACTATGGAGATGGAATAAAAAGAATGGGAAGTTAAGCCGTGAGAAAGGAGGAGGGGGGATAGATTGGTACCAGTATCAGAAAAAGATTCTGATACCAAAGATGTTCCCATTCGCAAGGGAATGCATGGTAGACCGTCCGGATACTATTGTACAAGAAGACAATGCTCCATCACACAATCATTACATTCAGCAGCGAGTATTTCAATTACATGACATTAATCGCCTCTTCTGGTGCGCCAACTCTCCATTTTTAAATGTCATCGAGCCGTGTTGGCCATGGATGAAAAGGAGGACTACACCAAAAAGTCGACCAGACGCGATACGAGCTTGGGAGACCTGTTGGGAAGATCTCCCTCAGTCGCAAATCCAAGCCTGGGTCGAGAGGATTCCTCAACATATCCAGAAAAGTCATCGAGCTAGAAGGAGGAAATGAGTACAAGGAGGGGCGAGAAGAACACTGATTTCATAACTATGTACATAACTAAATTGTGAACTGTGGCGTTTCCTAGCGTGGGACAAAACTTTTGAACGCTTCCTCCGTACATACAGGACTGTCGAATGAGGTGTCTAACACCTGCTGAATCGCTCTATTACCCGATTACCAGCCAAGATCACGAGTTCCTCAACGGGAGCACTCAACGCCACACTTAACGCCACATTAACGTTTCAATGCCTAGGATAATGAATTTGTTACTAACATGAATGTTTATAGAATATTTTTGGTATGAGCCTAAAAAACTTTGTAGGGGGCTCGTCATTAAATTCGTGCTGAAATGATTTTATCTCCTCGTCAACCTTCACCTACCTGCGCGCGATCTTAGTTTCGTCGCTAGTGGCACCAAATCCTGATGACTCGCCATCGCAATCTAGCGCTCATTCCCAGCACATACAACGGCATACTCTATACATTTATGCAGTAGGTTACGGTAAGAACTGATTAAACATTTAAATACTCCACCACATGTTGCACCGGCAAACTGCAATTTGAAACAGTGTATGGCTCCTCTACGGTTATAGTGGCAAGGGTACCTAATATAGAGTAAAATGTGGCGATCTCGGGAGATATAATTGGCTCGGCTGGTGCAAAGTGAGCCCAATAGCCGAAATTTGGCATTTTCAACTGCCGCTGTGGCCTAAACATGCTAGCGCTGATTTACAAGCTTCTGTAGGATCACCTATAGTGCTATAGTGGGGTATAGGAATCCACATCAGCTATTTGTGTTAAACGGAAAAGCGCAACAAAGGCCATGACAGCACAATTACGATTCATAAACCTCCTTTGATACTCGCGGAGAACAGAAGAAGGAACACAGTCGCGTTCACCGAAGCAAGGCCTTCAAGTGTGCGTGATGGAACTCTAATTCCCTCACATGAGTGTCTGGGTAAGCTATCCATATAAGATGCCTTGACCCTTGCCTGGCAGGTGCCATTGGCGGCTGGCTGGGCTGTGCGTCCCTAACATTTCCAGGGATCACTTGAGCCAAATCTAAGTCCAGAATCAATCTCTTAGACAAATCAAGGATCGGTGAGGTATGTTTGTACCGCATGATCCTTCAGTCGTTTATCCTCAAGGGGATGAACAGTGCTATTATGACACTGTTGGCAAGGATCAGCTTCCTGCCCCACAATCCCACCGAAGAAGAATCGCAAAGCTAACAATGGTGTTATAGACTTATATAAAGGGAGGGACAAATGCGTTTCCCTCGAAATGTAAGATATTTTTGGGGTGCTCATATAGCTCGTCACAATGGTCAACTTCCTCCAAACCGCCCTCCTAGCTCTCGTCGCCAGCAATTCTGTGATAGCCCTACCGAATCTGATCAGTTATCCGCTCCCCAAGCCGGACCCAATTCATGGAACTTCCAAGTACCAGCGACGAGGCTTGACGCTCGAGGGGAGAGCCACACGGGAAACCTATGCAAACGAGGCAGTTTCAGGCATTATAGCTTTAAATCAGTGGTATGGAGACAATGGTCTCTGGGATAACCACTGGTGGAACAGCGCCAATGTTATCACCATGCTTGCCGACTTTCAAGCATTTGCCCCCGATCAGGTCAGCGGCTACACAGCCGGTGTCTACCAAAAGACGTTGGCAAATGCTCCATCGTGGGGTGCGTTCACTGGATTTATCAACGACTACTATGATGATGAGTTGTGGTGGTGTCTTGCTTGGATTCAAGTCTTCGATGTAACGAAGGAGCAGAAGTATCTCGACATGGCATCGTCGATCTTTGAAGACGCTAAGAAGGCTTGGGGCCAACCTGCTTGCGGCGGTCTGTAGTGAGTTAATTCCCCTTCCCCCATTGTCCCATATCTGTCCAACGCAAATATTAGTTGGAAAAAGGGTGACCCGGCGGTCAATGCTATCGAGAATGAGCTCTACCTCACCGCAGCCGCCAAACTTGCAAACCGCAAGCCCAGCTCGCCTTCGGGAGGTTACTACTTCAACGAGGCGATCAAGGCTTATGAATGGTTTTTCAACTCAGGCATGATCAACGGCGAGTTCCTCATCAATGATGGCCTGACTGCAGATTGTAAAAACAACGGCGCTACAACCTGGTCTTACAACCAAGGTGTCATTCTTGGTGGCCTTACTGAGCTCACTTGGTCGACTGGCGACGCTAAATACACAACCCTCGCGATCAACATCGCCACAGCAGCAATCACGAAACTGACGAACGCAGATGGCATCTTAACTGACGCATGCGGGACCTGCGGAGGCGATGGCGGCCAATTTAAAGGGGTGCTTGCCCGCAACGTCCAGTTCATGTACAACCGTGCCAACGGGCTCACGGATGCTACCAAGGCGCAGTTCAAGGCCTTCTTACAGTTGAACGCCGACACGGTGTGGGAGAAAGATCAAGAAGGAAACTTCCTCGGCCCCGTCTGGTCCGGGCCATATATACAGGCGGATGTAAACTCCCAGAGCTCAGCGTTGGATCTTCTAGTTGCTGCAGCCGGAGTGTCATAGGTTACGTTTGCGGCGGAAGTGTCCACTGCCTCTGGCTGATGAATTTTGGATGATTGGCCTTTGGCAATTCCGAGTGTAAATATGGATCTGAACGAATTTACGAATATATAGTAAGGAAGCGATCACCCGGGCGAAGCGATCACCGAACTTCCCACCTAAAATTGAGAAATTTTCAAGATAATAACTCAACAACTTCATAATATATTCTAAAAATGTGTGTGTATCCTTATATATACACGTAGATTCCTTTATTTTAAGCTTTAAAGCAATAGACTACTCGGTGTTCCACCCACTCGCTTCGCTCGTAGGTGGCGACAGCAAGTTGTGCGTGCGACAGCAAGATGTGCGTACACCGCTATTTTGATATATAGAAAAAATAATAGTATTCTTCATAACGTCGTAGTATCTACAATGCCTCAAAATAACGATCCTACTATGATTGCTCGCCTTAATGAGGCCCAACAGTTCTTCTTAATACAACCAAGTACATATACAATTGCTTGGGTTGCAAATAAATTCAATGTCAACCGTGAGACACTCCGACGTCGTATTACGAGTACTACGTCTCCTCAATTACCCCACGGAGGTAGCAATCGAGTCTTATCTCAATCGCAAGAGACCGCGGTCTGTCAATTCATATACGACCAACTTGAGCGCGGGGTCCCTGCCAACCGATCTATGATACTACGGGCAGTTGCAGACTTACGACCTAATCGTACGATACCATCACAACGGTGGCTACAACGCTTTCTAAAAGCACACCCCGAATTTCATACAATTCACACGAAGACGTTAAATACACATCGGAAGCAAGCACAAAAGAAAGAGGTGTTTGAGGAATTCTTTCTCACATATAACGCCCTTATTACAAAACATAACATTAAGCCATATAATTTATGGAATGTTGATGAGACAGGCTATATGATTGGGTGTTATAAGTCTACGGCTGTTATTGTACCAATCGGTGTAAAGCAGTGGACTGTTGATAATCCTGAGAATCGGCTCTCTGTTACTGTAATTGAGGCAGTAAATGCAAGTGGTGCTGCACTTGCAGAAGCTATCATTATCCCTGGCAAACTTCATATGGATTCATGGTACAATGATGACCTTGAGCCAAATGCTCTCATTATTGTAAATGAGAGCGGGTATTCAAACGACGACATTGCAATCCAATACCTTATGCATTTTATCCAACTATCTGCAGAGCATATGGCACCAGATGATACTCGCCTCTTATTACTTGACGGCCATGACTCTCATAAAACAGAGCGCTTTCTTACATTAGCAGAAGAGCATAACATTGTTATTTGCTGCCTTCCTGCTCATACAACACATCTATTACAACCTCTTGATGTAGCGGTTTTTAAGCAGTGCAAACACTTTCATCAAAAGGCACTTGATCAAGCAGTACGTAGCTACGACTATGAGTATAAGCTACGTACGTTCCTTTCAGACCTCCCGCAAATCCGACGGCAATCTCTAACTGTCCGTACAATTCAATCTGGTTGGAGAAATACAGGACTATATCCATATAATCCTCCACTTGTAATTGACAAGATACAAGAGACTCGGAATCAAACACCTGATTATGAGCCATTTGCTTCATATAATATTATCTCAACACCGAAAACAACTATGCAAAGTGTGCAAGCGGTTGAACATTGGCAGAAGAGAGCAGAGGAAGCTTTCTCATCGCCTTCAAGAGAAGGGTTTCAATCATTTGCACGTGGAACTACAGTTGTTCTACACCGGGCAGAGCTCTATAAGACCGAGCTAGATATTATGACTCTACGTGCAGTAGAGCAGAAGGCAGCAAAGGCAAGGGCACGGAAATCACTACAGAAAGGAGGGCAGTTATATGCATCAGATGCACGGAAAATGCGGGAAGAGAAGAAAGCAAAGTTGCAAGCAAAAGCAGACGCAAGAGCAGCAAGGGAATCGGACCAAGTAGTAAAGCAGCTACAAGCGCAAGCACGTAAAATCGAAATTGAAGAGCATAAGGTTGAGAGGAAGCGGGTAGCAGAGCGGAAGAAGGAAGGGTTGAAATCAAAAGTGATCATTTTATGGTATAGTAAGGATCAAAGTGATAGTAGCAATAGTGGCAGTAGCGATAGTGATAGTAGTTCTATTGATTTTATGTTTTAATTATATAGTTATATAGTTGATATATAAGGCGTCTTTTTCTTCGTTTTATGTGTCGCACATCTTGCTGTCGCACGCACAACTTGCTGTCGCCACCTACGAGCGAAGCGAGTGGGTGGAACACCGAGTAGTAGATATTGAAATATAAAGACCTAGTCTAAATTTCAGCGCCTAAACTTAATATCTTAAGAACTAAGTTAGCGAATAAATTAAGCATCCTTGTTATTGTACTGTCTTGTCTAATCTCACAATGCATCAGTGTTCACCAAAATAGTATTAGTATTTGTGCTTTTCGAATAGTATTCGGCGATGAGCAGTATTCGGGCAAAAATTGAGGTATTCGGCGAGTATTTGCCAAGGTGCCAAGCTACAAGGATTTTACCCCGCCCTCATACTATCCCCCCCCCTGAATGATTGTCACTACAGTTCTCACGCGATAAGTCGATATAATAATTCCTCTAGATAATATCGAGATATACTGAATATCGAGTAATCAAACCATTACATAAGCCAAACGTCCAATGTGCCCTGAATGCCCTCATTTGCTCTTTTGACCATTAATTCCCTTTCTATACGCCAGGAACCTCTTCGACAACCTGCAAATGGGAGAGAAGGGGAATGCTAGCAAAACCTTCCCAGAGTTCAAGGCTCGTTTCCAAGCAGCTATCACAGGACAAGTCTCTGAGTTGGAATGGTTTCGGTACATGTGGAATAAGTTGACTCCCCAATTCCGCAGCCGCGTCGCGATCATCAAAAACCAATGGAATGGAGACTACCACACCATGGTACGAGAACTTACCGCCTTCGATCAGGAACGGCGCCGGAACAACGAATTGAATCCGCTACCCTCCCCCACAAGGACGTCCACACGTACCACAGATACAGCAAAGGCGTTGGCATTGAAGCCGACTCGAGCCACACCTGCTCTGTTTACCCGAACCATGTTCCTCCCCAAGCCAACGATGCCAGAGCGTGTAAAGACCAGAGTCCCAGCATCCTCAGGGAAATGTTTCAAGTGTGGCAAGCCTGGTCATTTCCAGGACAAATGCCCCCTTAACGCCACTATCAAGGAAATCGACCGTAATGACCCCGAGGCAGAAGAACAATGGGAGGAAGCTGTGGAACTTCAATCAGATGCGTCCCTAGAGGAAAACAACGAGGCCTAGGGAAAGGCTCCTTCCTAGGTCTATGCTAATATGACCTGCAAGGACTAGACTTACAAGAACTCCTGGGAGGTACCCAGTTCTTAGTCGACATGACCCTGAGTATGAATGGACTCGGGGTGAAAACGAAGTCCCTAGCAGACACAGGAGCAAATGGCTACCTTGTCATTAACAAGCCTTTCGCAATACGACTGTCGAAAGCCCTTCAGAGCCACATACGGAAACTACCCTACTCTGTACCCATAGCCCGAGTCCCCTCTGACACAGGGTCCCCCCCCCCCCCTTTTACCCCCCCCCCTTACTCCCCATACTCCGCACCAAAGGTGCCCTCACCCTCTCCCTCCCCCTCTCCCTCCCCATCTCCCTCCCCCTCCTTCCTCCGACCAGAGTGGACCGGAACAGTCGCGGCCGCGACGGCTACCACAGGCAGCTTGCCCACGGCAGCCACCACTTACTCCAAGAGCGCTGGCACGCTCTCCTGCTCCATCTGAAGACAGCGCAGAGACTACCGGATTTGTTAAACTGTGTCAGCACTGAAACAACACAGGGGAAGGGTATACTCATGGCGAACCCCGCCTCGATGGCGGCGCGCGTGGCATGAGCCTCCTCATAGGTGTCATACTGACATTCGTTGCACTCAGTTTGCTATCAAACTCAAGAGCAAACTTAGAAATCTCCTCCTCAAACATACAAGTCACCATACATATCTTGGCTTATCACACCAACAACAGAAGCAATACTACTCAACGATTGCTGCAAACTCTTCTACTACATCTGTTTATGCTACATACATCATGGCATATCATTTGGACACTCATTGAACAAGTTATTAAGAAATCTCCTCCTTAAGGGGGTGGGCCAATACTACCACATGGCATATCTCTACCAACTAGAGGCCTAGGAACATGAACGATAGCTCTAGAAGCTTCTACAACCCTCTATGATTCATTACACGTCATCGCTCCTTAGTTACAGACAAGATTGGTTAAGTTATGACATAATTTGTCTATAGGTACTCTGACCTTGGACCTCCTTTCAACTTCCTATAGGCTAGAAACCCAAGAGATGGTTCTAGGGATTCTCTTACGTTCACTACATGATTAGCAAGCTAGTTGTGGGTCGCACTTGATTTCTAATACATTTACCAAGCCTGGTTAGTCATGGAAAGTCATGGAAAATGAGAGAACTACACTCCTTTGGCATAAATAGGATTGCCCTTTCCTTAAGAAAGGGCAAGCAGGCAATACAGTAAATTGACTATCACATACTTCCACATCTTTTTCAAGCTTCCAAGCATTCATCTTGTTACTCCTTGTTTCTGAAAAGTCAGTGAGGTGTTAACCTCTGACTTACCCCTGAGTTCCCAGACTCAACATTTGTTGCAACTTGTCTGAACCACTTCACTACATCACACACCTGATTGCTGCGTTGTGGAATAGTCTAAGCTACAACCCTTTGGCTCTGTTTCCTAAGACAGTGTGTTGTCTTAGTAAAATCATCCCTTCCTTGGGTGGCTAGATTCTCACATCTGGTGCACCCACCATTACAATAGGAGTCATGCTCTGCCGCGGAGCGGAACTTGGGAACGCTCTAGGCGGCCACAAGGGCCACCCTATTTGCCTCCGCGGCAGCAGCCACGACATTGGCGGTGACGACAGGGAGGGCCGTTTCGGCAGCAATGAGGGCGCGGTACTCCTCATCGAGGAACCAGGGCAGCCATCCACATGATGGTCAGCAACAACCAACCAACTGAACACCACAAGGAAACGCACCGAGACGCAGGGAGAGTGCTGGGCAGTGCAGTACTCGCACTTCGACGACGAGGGAGACCAGACGCAGGCGTGCGCCTGGACTCCCCGAGCTTTGGCCTGAAGGTAACGCAGACAGAGGACGCGGAAAGCGACTGACAGGGCTCCGGCAGGAAGCTGTTACGACGGAACAAGAAGGCTGGCCAACTACAGGACAGGAAGGAGGGAGGTCGCATGAGACCGGCCCTGGTACCTGGAGGGGCAGCGGGGAATAGTAGTTCCGAAAGTATCACGTGACGGACTCGCAGGATGATGAGAAGAGTCCTAAGAGTCCAGGACTCCGAGGTCCTGGACTGTGAGTTCCCAGGAGTCCACTAGGCACGTGACGGACTCGCAGGATGATGAGAAGAATCCTAAGAGTCCAGGACTCCGAGGACTCGAGTGAGTTCCCAGGAGTCCACTAGGCACGACGCCACTATATAAGTAGATAGTTAGTTCTTAGATAGGAGCTTCGTGCTCAACTCAATACAGTATTTGTTATATACTAGTAATGTGTTACTTGAAGCCTTTGTGTCTGATCCCCTGCCTCCTCTGATAAGTAAACCTTTACGCAAGAGAACCTCTGTGTCTTCTATCGTTTAGAAGTCAGCGTTACAGAAGCGGGACCAGCATCTTCAAGTTGGGATCTATAATCCTGTCAGCCCATCCCACGTTATCACCTGCACGCCGAGCGCGTTCCCGTCACCTACTCGTTCGTGTGGATTTGTATATTCTAAACAATCAGTTAGTATACAGCTATATGAACGGAGGGGGCCACTTACCAGTCTTGGGGTGGAGGGGTTTGCTGGCATTGTTGTTGTAAGGAAAAAACAAGAGGAAGTGGGCGAAGCGGAGTACTCAAATGTTGGCTTACAACAATAAATTCTGAATCGGGCTAGTGTGACCACTCCCCCTTTCACATTTACGAAGGTTCGACTCAAACGCTTAGCGGATACTTCCCGGTGCCCATTCAGACCACCAAGATGGAAAGTGAGATCGAACAAAGCCAACTCCAGTGTCGCATTCCATGAGGTGGTATTACAGTACCCTTCAAGAACAGCCACCTCCGCACACAAAGCACCTTCCCGACACATTGCACAAACGGGGGAGTTCTCGATGCACGTACCGACGGAATTTTCACCAAACAAAGAATGCCCAGCTTATGGATACCATTCAGAGAGGTTACGGAAAGGACCCTGACAGCGTGCTTTGCGGACAAAGCACTCTCTTAGGAGGGGGGTAGTGTAAGGATGCCTTCTCATCGAATATTCTAAGGAGCAGACTCTGGGTAGCTGCGGGGTCACGTGTGATCATTTAGGTGGGCTAACCAAGTCGGATGGGTTTCAGGTACTTGAGGGAATTGACTCACGGGGTTCCCCCTTCATCTTTTTTGTATCCTTCGTAGCAGACCTATAGGATAGCATCCATTTAGCCTCCGACTCGCACTCCCATATGCTATTACTGTGAGCTGGGTGCCCTGTGTCCTTACAATGCCCTTACTACGAGAGGAATTAGTGAAGATGCGTTAGGTACTAGCAGGGACTTCCTAGGCCTTAGTGGTGGTAACGGAAGGATCCTTAAGGCTAGCATTATAGTTGTCAGCACGGCCATTCTAAACAGCGTCAGCTGCGAGCTATAGGGACTCTAACAGAGCTCAAACACCCTTGTTGTCGATGCCCTTGCTACGAGAGGAATTAGTGAAGATGCGGGAGCGAATAGTCGAATCCGAGGATTACAGTTAATTTCTCCGTAAATCCGTAAATCCGTAAATCCCTCGGTCAACCGTGTGATAGTGATAGCTGCATTTATCAACACGTGGTACCATAACTACCGCAAAGAATTTGAAGGGTACAGTTGGGTCAAATAAGTGTTCGTCGTTTTCAGCCACCAAAACGCCATGAAAAAAAGCAACGAGTGCGGGGTACTCCCTCTTCAAAAGGATAATATAGATAGAAATAGTGAGTTGTAGATACTGTCATCAATTATTATGGCTCTCCTACCGAAGAGTACTCGTAGAGAGACCTCTGTTGCAAAGCGAGCAACATGCTGGACTTGGTACAAGGCTGGCAAGACAGTGACTGAGATTTCCCGCCTAGAACGCCTACCCCGCACTACTGTAACTACAATTATCCACAGAGCAAAGGCTTCCGACCTACAAGCTCAGCAAGTCAAGTTTGAGAGCAAGGCACGCTCGGGGGCCCCTAGGAAGCTTACTATCCGAGCAGAGAGGGCCTTAGTGCGTGCTGCTGTTACAGATTGCAGAGCTCCACTAATTGCGCTCTGCACACCGAGCAAGAGCGGCTCTCAGATCACAAAACCAACAGTACGCAATGCTCTAAAAAAGTACAACAAAGGACGGAGAAAACCACGCAAGAAGCCGTTCCTTAAGCCTGCTCACAAGAAAGGCCGGCTACAGTGGTGTAAAGCAAACAGAAACGTGGATTTTGGACTTATTATATGGTCTGATGAGTCTACATTTGAAGTTGGCTATGATAGTCGCAACTTTTGGGTTACCCGAGGCCCAGGAGAAGAATTTTGGGAGAAACACCTAAAGCCTACTTTCAAATCAGGCCGTACTTCAATTTCTGTGTGGGGTTGCTTTATGGGAGCAGAGATTGGACCGTTGGTTGTGCTTCCTAAAGGGCAGCGGATGAACCAGCAACTATACACAGAACTAGTTCTCAAACCCTACTTTATCCCATTCTACGAGAAGATGGTTGCAAAGTACGGCCCACAAGTACGTATACAAGAAGATGGAGCAAAATTCCACTTTGCTCCTATTGCTGCAAACTACAAGAGGCTCTGTATGGTACAGAGTTTACCATGGCCGCCACAGAGCCCTGACCTTGCCCCTATTGAAAACGTGTGGCAGCAAGCAAAGCTACAAGTGTCTACTCGACGGCATAGGATCAAGAACATTGCAGAAATGGAGGTGGCGGTACTCTACGAGTGGTCACGTATACAGGCTAGTTTTCTCAAAACCTTAGCTGACTCAATGCCAAAAAGGATTGCATTATGCATTAAGGCAAAGGGTGGTAGTATTAAATATTAATCTATATTACTCTAGCTATAGTACATTTCAATTTTTATTCAATTCCAAAGCGTTGTGGTTGAGTTATTTACGATTGATTTTATGGTTGTGGTTCTTCGGAGCGACGAACACTTATTTGACCCAACTGTACATGTGAGCATTGGACAGCAATGATGCTGAGCCGAACAAGAGCGCCTGCAGATAGAATGATGGGGAAAATGCTGCAGAAGACCGATTTCGGGTCAACTGCTTGGAGTCAGTATTCATTCACACTTAGCTGCGATTTGACAGCCACATATGACGGGCCCAGTATGTTAAATATCAAATTCATTCAATGTCGTTGCAATCTTCTTTCACACGTGAGGCCCATGGCCTCCCCATCAACATGAAAGGTCTTGGGGTCCAACGCCTAACCTCACGCGACTTGGCTATTATTCGTGGGCACTGCATAATATAAGTGCGAAGACAGATAATGCTGAGTTTGTTGTCTATGTTTTTGCTATGATTCTTCTTCCCAAACGGCGCTCTGTATTTACACAGTTTGAATAGTGCACTGTACTTTACAGTGCACACTTATTTCTGACCCACTGCACTTTCAGCGCTGGTGCTGACTGCACTGGTATCACAACTGGTAGTACGGAGGTCAGGCTGGGTGCTGGGCTTAGCTCGGGCCAGGTGCCCCAAGCTCGCCTAATTTGCCTATTTATTCCTCGAGCGCCTATCAACCCTTAATCGCATCACAGTCCGAGACAGGAACCCCACACTCGAACAGCACCCCGATCACCCTTCATACCTTCCCAATCCGAACGGTGTGAACAGGCGTAAACAGAGCCAACAAAACGTCGTCGCCTTCCACTTCAACATGATGCTTAGAACTGCTTCATGGATTTGCTACAAATGCAGGTACCGACCTGGGCTGCCTACGGGTTCATCGTGTGAAGCTCAGGTATACAGCTCTGCCTGAAGGCTCCGGTACACTTTGCGATAGGCGACGACTATTCAAGACTGGCGGCAAACTGGGAATATGGGGGTCACGACTGAACCAAGAACCCTTGGAAGGGCCAAACGGACGTTACCGCCTCCATGGACTTCGGCCAGGATCGGGGCGCTATTGCTGGTAGCTGTTGGTGTATTCGCATTCTCACAGTTTTCTCCATTTCTGGGGCAGAGGCAAATCCCGGAGTTGAGCTTCAGCTTGCATGGCAGCCGAATATTTGCGTCGGATAAGGGGGTGGATGATGACTGGGACGATATCCCTCCTTCTAGAAACATCATATGGCGTAAATGCTTTGGCGACTTTGACTGTGCCAAACTCGACGTACCACTTGACTGGCTTGACCCTTCAGATAACGCTCGGGCCATCATAGCAGTCATCTGGCTACGAGCGACAGACCTTGATGACTACCGCGGCCCCGTGTTTTTCAACCCTGGCGGCCCCGGTGGTTCTGGGGTAGCCGCCATGAGGGACCGAGGAAAGCATCTCCAGGAGATTATCGGGACGAACCACGATCTCATCAGCTTTGACCCACGCGGAGTTGGGGTCTCAACCCCAGAGATACAGTGTTGGCCGACTGAGCAAAGCGCGAAGATGTGGCAGCTCTTGGACATTGGCGCTGTAGACGCGCATCCCGGAGTGCTGTATGATGCTTATGCGAGGGCTACTGCACGCTCAGGCGCTTGTGCACGTAGTATGGGTGGCACTCTTGACCCAGCAGGTGCTGAGCATGGGGTCTTGAGCTACGTCGGCACCACATCTGTCGCGAGAGACATGCTGGAGATCCTGACCCAGATGGGAGAGGAGAAACTGAGGTACTGGGGCTTCAGCTACGGCACGATGCTCGGTGGGACGTTTGCCGCCTTGTGGCCTGACAAGGTGGAACGGATGGTGAATGATGGGAATGTCAACTATAAGGAGTGGATGGCCAATAACAGTACGACATTTTCCAGGGACTCGGACAAGGTGATGGCTGGCTTTTACAAATATTGCCATTTGGCCGGACCAAGCGAATGCGCCTTTTATAGGTCAACACCTGAAGCTATTGAAGAGCGCCTAGACGCACTCCTAGAACGCCTCAGACGCCAGCCAATTGTGGCACCTCTGACACTTCATATAGCGGACCTACCAGAGGTAATATACTACTCTAGTGTGAGGCAGCTCATATCTGCTTCGTTATACCAGCCCGTCTTAATGTTCCCGACTCTGGCTCGTATCCTTGAGTCCCTTGACAAGGGCGATGGCGCCGAGTTCATTAATTATTACAGCTCATCGCAGAAACCGCTATCCTGTGACTGCTCATTGAGCAGCCCAATAGTCAGCCCAGTGTTCAAAGAGAGCACGCCTGACGCATTCGGAGCTGTCCTCTGTGCGGATGGCGGCGAGACAGACGATTCAATAGAAGCCGTAGAAGCCTATAGCAAAACCCTGCTAGGCATTAGCAAAGCAGCAGGTCCTGTCGACGTCACGACGAGAATGAGTTGCGTTGGCTGGAGAGTTCGAGCGAAATGGAGGTTTGCAGGTACGAGATTCAAAAATACACGCAAAAAAGTCTCTGACATGGTCCCCAGGCCCTTTCCAGGGGAACACCAGTCACCCCATCCTCTTCATTGGCAACATAGCCGATAATGCAACACCCCTTCGCAGCGCCTATCTCGATGCAGAAGGCTTTGCAAATGCGTCAGTGTTGGTTTATGATTCATTCGGGGTAAGTATGGCCTCATTAATACGGACGTGCGCTCACACCCCTCGCAGCATACCACTCTCTCGACGCCCTCAACGTGCATTGCCAATCATATTAGGGAGTACTTCCAGACCGGCGCCGTGCCGGTTAATGGGACGATTTGCAAGCCAGATACTGCCCCTTTCCAGCCACTCCCAGGAACGGACGCGATGAGAGGGTTGGCGCAGTCTAAATTGACGGAAGCTGTCTGGGAGCTTGCAAAGAAGAAGAGGAGTCCGTTGGTGTTTTAATAGCAGATGAGCCGGCGAGATTCTATTCCCTAGAGAGAGTCAGGACGAGAAGAATCATGTTATTAGCGAAACGGTGGGATCGTATACTATAGAGAGACCGGGGTACTGGAGTTATATTATATGATGGGGACATGACACTATTGTCAGGAATGAACGATAAATTAGCATAGCTTACGATTAGCCCATAGTTTAGATTACACTAGAAATTATAACAGACTTGATATAAATATCGGACTTCTAGCTTGGTAAACTAGCATTGAACGAATTTGTGTTATTGACCAGAACGGTTCATCGCCCACATCTCAGTGAAGTCACATTATTTGGAGAAATACCGACCGATTTTTGCGGCAACCTTCGGGGGAGACGACGATGGAGATGAACCCCTGCCTCCCCTGTTTGACAAGGCTGAAGCCAAAATCGGAAGCAACACTCTATTCTAGCTATTAGATAATAAACTAACTCCAATGCCTCGGTTGTGGGGTATTTTGTGACGACAATCTGTGTTTGGGCTCTAGAAACCAGCATGTGGAATTGGAGAAATCGGAGATCCAAGAGCGAACGAACCAACCGCGCTCCAGCACCGCCATACCCCAATGTCAGAATAACGACTAGGGCTGTATTTGTTATTCTGTTGGGGATTTTGGAGATGCGCGGGGTTACTGATGCTCATGCGCTTTCTTTAAGGGTGCGCAGGGTGTGCACTTCCTGTAAGCCTTTGAAGTATCAGAATTGCACACGAAGTATCAGAATTGCAAGCGAGCTTCAGAATTGCTTTTTATCTCAGGTCCGTTCCCGGCGTTCCCCATTTTGTTGGGATCTGGAGCGGCCGTGGCGTGGCGCTAGAAATAGCGCTACTTACCTTCGCTTGTGATAGAACGGGAATGCATGTGAAGATGAAGAAAGGGACGCTGATGGGAGCTCTACTAGAGCGATTCAGCAGTGTTCGACAGTCGTCAGCTTGACACTACCTGATCCGGTGATGCCAAGCAGTACTAGAGTACTGTAGTTCGTTTATCAAAGGTAAAGCATATCTATCTTTGATAGTCCACGCAGAGTCTTAGCTTCTTGTCCTCCTTTGGCACAAATAGTATTGGACTTCCTGCTGGTGATGTCGATGGTCGAATGAACCGTTTCGCGAGGTGGTTCTTGTCAATGTATTCCTTCAGTACGTCCAGCTCTGCTGCTGACATCTGATATATTGGTCCGAACGGTGGACTCTTTCCTTCCATGATAGGTATCTCATGATCCCATGGTTGGTGCTTAGGAAGCGCCTCTTCGTTAGGGCCTTCCTGGAATAACTGCTCGTATTCCTTATACTCCACTGGTATTTGCTTCAGTGAGGATGCCTGGGCTAGATCATCAGACTCGGTGGTCACACATAACTCCTTCCGGTCTTTGGAGGTTTTCTCCTTCTGCGTCGTGTCCATTCGTTGTTCACACGCGCACTGGCTCATCACAACTTTCTCATTCCGCCAGTCGATCTGGGGGTTGTGTTTCTTGAACCACGGTACACCAAGTATGCATGCATGATTGTCCATGTGCACGATATCAAACTGTATCGTTTCCTTGTGTCCGCGTAGCATGACCATTTCTAATGGGACCGTCTCGTGGGTCACCATTCCGTTGTTAGTTGAGATGGGCTCTCCATCTACAACCATTAATGGGTATGGATCGGTCTTCAGTTGCGTCCTGAACCTGTGTGTGTCTGCTACTTTCTTTGTCATAAAGTTGCCTGTTGCTCCTGAGTCTATCATAGCTCGGAGGTGTTGCTGTTGTATCTTAGCAAACCACATATAGCTGCATGCCACCGTTGTGGCGCATAGCTGGTTTGTACTAGGCCTCTTTGTGTCGCTCGCCAGTGGCCTACTGACGAGGACTCCTAGTTTTTTGAATCGTCTGAGGAATAACTGTCTGAGGAAAATCCATCATGTTCACCATATTCTAATAGTCGTAGAACTGGTACCCTTTCTCTTCTTCGTTCTGCTTCATGGCGTAGGCGTTCGTGTGCTTCTAACACTCATGTTCCCCTTTCTTCTCTTGGGATGCATTCCTGGGAAGGATACTTATTTGCATCCCAGATTTCTGCAAGCTGTGATGCTTCATATTCTCCCTCCTGTTCTAGTTGTTGTAATACTCATAACAGGTTGTTTTGTCGAGCCTCATAGACCTCATTCTTAGGGTGGTGTATGTCATCGATTCTCCAATCTGCGATAGCGTCCCGGACGTTATATTCGCAGAGCTTGTACTCTAGCCATCCTGTGGCTTCCTTCTCCATGTATTTCTCTCCACAGGGTTCCTGCTGGTGAGGGTATTCTGGTCGGCACCTGATTGTGCGAACTGCAACCTCCCAGTCTTGTGTAGTTTCCTGCCAGCTCATTGGTGGCTTGGGCACAGGAATTCTTTGATCGACTGTCTCCTGAAGCATGGATTCCTTGAAGGTTCTTACTGCTCCTAGCAGTTGTTCCTTGAAGAGAGTCTTACTTGCTGTCTTCTCAAATGTGTAATGGTGGGTGCACCAGATGTGAGAATCTAGCCACCCAAGGAAGGGATGAATTTACTAAGACAACACACTGTCTTAGAAAACAGAGCCAAAGGGTCGTAGCTTAGACTATTCCACAACGCAGCAATCAGGTGTGTGATGTAGTGAAGTGGTTCAGACAAGTTGCAACAAATGTTGAGTCTGGGAACTCAGGGGTAAGTCAGAGGTTAACACCTCACTGACTTTTCAGAAACAAGGAGTAACAAGATCAATGCTTGGAAGCTTGGAAAAGACATAGAAGTATGTGCTAGTCGATTTACTGTATTGTCTGCTTGCCCTTTCTTAAGGAAAGGGCAATCCTATTTATGCTAAAGGAGTGTAGTTCTCTCATTTTCCAAGACTTTCCATGACTAACCAGGCTTGGTAACTGTATTAGAAATCAAGTGCGACCCACAACTAGCTTGCTAATCATGTAGTGAACATAAGAGAATCCCATAGAACCATCTCTTGGGTTCCTAGCCTATAGGAAGTGAAAAGGAGGTCCAAGGTCAGATTACCTATAGACAAATTATGTCATAACTTAACCAATCTTGTGGGTAACTAAGGAGCGATGACGTGTAATGAATCATAGAGGGTTGTAGAAGCTTCTAGAGCTATTGTTCATGTTCCTAGGCCTCTAGTTGGTAGAGATATGCCATGTGGTAGTATTGGCCCACCCCCTTAAGGAGGAGATTTTCTTTAATAAGAGTGTCCAAATGATATGCCATGATGTGTGTAGCATAAACAGATGTAGTAGAAGAGTTTGCAGCAATCGTTGAGTAGTATTGCTTTGATAAGCCAAGATATGTATGGTGACTTGTAGGTTTGAGGAGGAGATTTCTAAGTTTTCTCTTGAGTTTGATAGCAAACTGAGTGCAACAAATGTCAGTATGACAAGATCCTGCCTCACCGTGATTTGTATACTGTCGGATGTTGTGTCGCTTCTTGAATGAGAGAGCCAACCAACTGAGAAATCAGGTATAGGCTGCGTTGAATACTGCGGAAGTTGCTGCCAAACCTGCCTTGCCCTTTCCTTCAAAGCCTCCTCACTTGTGTTTCCGCCTTTGCCTTCAATCTGCTTTTGCCAAGCAAAAAGGATCTCCTCAAGGTCAGGCCATGTTCCAGTGCGGAGTCGAGCAGCTGTTGAGATAGCTGAGGAGTTGTCGACACTGTCAAAATGCTTGCTAAGTGACTCTGAGACTGTTGATTGACTGAGAGAATGGTTGTATTTGTCCTTAAACCACCGTTGACAGGTCTTTTGTGATGGTCGAGGGTATTGTTGAGAATGCCACTCTCTGACTGCGCGACGCTGCTCAATAGTAATGGGCTTATTTTGAGGCATTTCAGCCAAATTGTCTAATAGACCATTGGATAAGGCGATATTTAGGTGGTAATGGAGTAATATTGATGATACCGGTCGTTGTATGTGTTTTGAATCAGGGCGAGAAAAAAATTCACATTATCGCGAACATCGCCTTACCGAGCATCGGCTTAGCGGGACTCTACTGTATAACGTAAGTCGTGGCGTAGCAGGACGGATGGCGAAGCAGGACGGTTTTCTTTCTGAGGTACACTTACATATAATATAAATTTGTGTGTGAGGGTACCTACGAACTTAAATTTTCCAACATTTTTAAAACTTCAATAGTCAGCGCAATTTCGAATTATTGACTTAGCTCTGAGATATATAAATTAATTACATAGTTGAATTATACATTTAATGATACTTGTTAAAATAAAGCGCGTTGTTGTAAAAATATGGAGAAATAAATATTTTGATATTCGTCCATATAAATTTACGTAGAGATTTATATGAGAAAATGTCAACATATTTGGAAGCATATAACTTCTCTCAATATCATTAAAATACAGTGATACTTATAAAAAATATATCTAACTATATAGAGATCTTATATCTAAGAGAACTAAGCGCCATCTTCGTAACTGTGCGAGTTATTATGCTTAAATTCTGAGAAATTCAGCCAAGTCGGTACCCCTACATACAAATTTGTATGCAAAAGAACCTCAGAGGAAAACTGTCCTGCTACGCCATCCGTCCTGCTACGCCACGACTTACGTTAGTAGGCCACTTCAGTATCGTAATTTGAGTGTAGCAGCATAGCAGCTTTAGCCTAGATAGGAAATGATGTAACCATAATCCTTGCGCCCCCCTGTTGCCACTATTTCCTAATGTAGTCTAAAGCTGATACAGTGTAGCAGCTCAGGTCTTGGCAGTCTGGTCCTAAATAGGTTAGTATTATAAGTAAAATCCAACGTTGGAAAATGAAGTCGTAGATATATTATCAATGGTATAACGTACATGTATAACGAGTCGGCCACCCAAGCGAGTCGGCCACTTTCCACCATTTCCACCACCTTTTACTTTGCAACTATTTCCCTCTACGTACAAAAATGGAATCTACTTCAAATGAAAGCCGTATAATCCTAGCAATTGAAGCTCTTAAAAACGACCCTAAACTTACCGAACGAGCTGCAGCAGGTATCTATAAGGTTCCCCGGGCGACTTTGGCCGACCGACTTGCTGGAAAACTATCAAGATGCGATATAACTGCAAATGGGAGGAAGTTGACCAATACTGAAGAGAGTGTGCTTCTTGATCGTATTATTGATCTAATTGAGCGAGGATTTCCGCCCCGGCTCAAAGATATACAAGATATGGCCAATCGCCTCCTTGGGGT